CAGTTAGGGCCAGACTAGTTATAGTTATTCACCTGCTCTTACTCAGTGTGTGCCCTCTACTAGTAAATTGCCCCTAAAGCATTTTACTCAGAAGAACTATCAGATCATCAGATAGTGAGTATAGTTAGGCTTAGGGTTAGGTTTGAGGTTAGGGCTGGAGTCACCACGGGTCATTGCGTGACATTATAACTAGTCTCCTCTATATCAACCACCGTCTTGTGGCTTCGATCCAGAGGTTTCCTCAAGAGTCTTGCTTTGTTTAGTCATTGCACAGAAAAGCTTACCCATTGGGGGTGAAGTGTCTTCCTCTTCATCCATTGTCTCCTACCAGGACCCTCAAGAAGCTCGCATCATTTCCCCTGCCCCCATCCCCACCCCTGCCAGAGAATTCCAAGGCCCCCAGAACACTACACCTCAGCCCACCACTCCTACCTCTGCTGAAGAAGCCAAATTTGCCAGAATCAACACCGTGTTCAACATCGCCTGCAAATTAAGAAACTATCTAGAGCGACACGGAGGAGACAGCCCCATTGAGGTAGAACAAGTAGCACCAGCAATTGAGGCCTTAGAAGACGCAAATTACATGGTTGAGGACAGAAGAACAGGAGAAAGAGTAGGAACAGTCATACGAGGAGTATTCCACAGATGAGAATCTGTTGCAAGACAGTTAAACTCAGATTCATCCACAGCAGTAACCACAGAGTCATCGATATCCACATCAGCATCAGGACGAGAAAGGCCACCGCCTTACGAGCAAGAAGGGCAGTATAGACCCCAGCCGTACGGAAGACAGCAGGCAGCACCAGTACGACAAGCTCGATGACAAAGGAGATGAAGAGAAGACGTGCCGTCTTTCCTTGACAAAAGGAAGTTAAGAGAAGCACAAATTTGGGTAGTCAAATTAGTCCACAACAACGCCAAATTCAGCACATCGCTAGCAGAACCAGACAAGAAATGTCTGTTATTCCTATACGCCAGACTAACGTCTATCTGCGACACGGTAGAAATCAGAGGTTGTGACTTCTACAGGCCACTCATAAGAAGGCTACTTCATCAATTCTCAGAAAGGGTCATCAGTTTTAGGGATAGTCCTATAGGGCGGAGATTTGCCAGAGAAGGATGATACAGCAGAGTCATAGAACACGTGCTACGCCTAGGAGATCAGAGTCAGCTAGACAGATATTCCCCAGTATTTAGGCCAGTCCTAGGATTGGATTAGTAGTTCAAAAAGGAAGTGCCACGTTAAATGATAGTGTTTATCTTCTGGAATGGACGTTGGTGGTACACGGATTTACCAATCATCAGAGCAATCACCTGGAACGAAACATTCAGAAGATCAGATCCACAGATAGTAAGTATAGTTAGGCTTAGGGTTAGGTTTGAGGTTAGGGCTGGAGTCACCACGGGTCATCACATGACATCCTCCCCAAACCCTGATAGTCCCCTTGCTGTATCCACTAGTTCACCCACTATGCCGCCTCTCACCTCCAATATCTCTGACAATGGTAGCCTTGACCACACTCCCAACCTACAGCTACTAGCTAATGTCAGCGAGTATGTCATGGCATCCAAAGGACACAGCAGTGACCCCCAAGAGTTTGTGGTCTACAGCGACGATATAATCCAACAACCCTCCAACAACATCACTCAATACTGGAGATCCATCCCTTTCAATACTTCCACCCCGGTTCAAGATGTTGATCCTCTGGAACGTGTACTACCCCACTTTCCTGGAGCATACGCCACCCTCGTTACCCAACCTCCTATGGGTGTTCCTATCAATAGCAATCCAGCCTTTGGATTATGACAAGTCTCGACAACTGCAGTGGATGTACTTCAGGTTGCTGAACCTGTAGGAAATTGGAACTCTTCAGACAAGAAATAGGAGGAGGACACTTGAGAATACTTGCTGATGCGGGACGATAATCAGTTGGAAAGTCTTTGGGCATCACTACAGGACATCAAGGATCTCGGCGTAACTGACAAAGTTGATCGCTTCAGAGCTGTCGACACCAAAATAGATCTCCTACTGGCCGCATGACGATCAGTAGGGGCAGAACTCATTCGTGCGCAGGGGGAAATGGACCAGTGTCAAGCTCAACTTAGAGCTGCCAACCTGGAGGAACGGCTTGAACAACACGAATTCTCCATCATCACTCCTCCTTCTGGCGCCATGCCCCATCGCCTCCGCTTCTGTACCAAATGCGAGGTTGACGGCCACCTTCAGAGTGAGTGTTGGCACTGGTTGTGCTCCTATTGTGGACTACTTCACCCTCGCTATAAATTCCGCACCGCCACTGATGTTCATCCAGGACAACTTCCCTGTCCCACTGACAAACCAGGATACTTACAAGAGCATCACACTCAATAGAAACTCTGAATGACAAATCTGGGGAGGGGGGTAATGTTACAGCGTGAGGGGGGGGGATTCTTTTTCTTTTCCTAACTATTCATTGTTGACCCTGTAACTGTATGACTAATCCCATCACCTGATATGTTTCACCTACATCAGTGTTTCATATCTATCATGTTTCACCTATATTATGTTTTACTTACATCATGTTTCATCTCTATCACATTTCATCCTCATCACTGATACAACCCAGTGAAACCTGTTTCATGAACATCACTGATCCAACTTAGTGTTTCATACTTATTAAACTCTATTTACTCTGCCCTATTTAAGTAGCACTACTTCCGCTACTGTACTTTAGTTTTGTCCT